ATTTCTTAAGGGAGGGAGTAGTACACGGATCATGTCAGGTGAAATACATGAGGCGAACTCTGCTTTCAACATGACTGAATGTCACTGATTATACGGGATTAAAGGAAGGATCCGACGCCTATTCATTAACCTTATTTTCTCCTCGTTAGTTTTTTTTTATTTTTACTCTTTACTGTAGTTATGAATTGAAATTGAGCGATAGAAACTACAGGGCGTAGTTATGACGTTTTAAAACTGTATAAATTAAGCCGTTTCCGCATACTTGAAAATTTCATTTGGCGTCTGTGGGATAACAAAATAGCATATATATAATTTTATTTGGCGTGTGTGGGAGAAAAAAATAGCATATATATATATATATATATATATATATATATATATATATATATAGCACGGGGTATAAAAAAAAAAAGAAAAAAAAAATTCAATAAAATATCAATAGAACACAAGTGTCGTTGAAAATGATATAACGAGCTTGTAAAGACATATGGCATGGTGGTCAAAATCCCACATAAATCCGCGAATTCTATTTAAATCGACGAGATTACAAACTAAAATAGCAATATTGTTTGTATCTTACGATGTAACAATAATTTACATTCAATTACAAATTATATATATATATATATATATATATATATATATATATCTGTAATATTTAAAATGATCGATGCGGAAAAACTTGGATTATTTTATTGCCCGTACGTTTTATAAATGAGACACACATTTTCCTTATTACATTGCCAATGATTTTTTTTTTTTTTTTTTTTTTTTTTTTTTAATATATAGGAGCAGAAGTGGGAGGGTAGATAAAAATAGGGTCGAATGGCAAAATTGGCTCTTGCAATATTGATCAGGCTATTCAACCTGCGGGAGATTGAAAAAGCGTCGCGATGATGATGTGTAGGTAAGGCTTGAAAAATTGATTCAGAGAAGAAGCACTTGAGCTTTATTTCGAGCTGTGCGTGCATCGTGCGCATGCAATTTCACTTGGTCGCGGCGGCGGTGAACCTGTAATTATGAGTGGCTGCTACTTTGTTAATTTGAAAATTTTCAAAAATGAAGAAAACGACGATGTAATGTAAATTGTTTGTTTTCGTGGTTTTGTCTTTCTTTATTTATTTATTTTTTTTTTGTTTTTTGTTTTTGTTTTAAAACGTCCATCAGTGCCTTTTTCAATTTAATAACAATGTGATATACTGATTTTGAATCGAGAAAATAGTCCAAAGTACTAAATTTTCAAATAGGTTTTCTTCATTAAGCAAAGATGCTACTTTTAGATTTCATTGCATGCGCGGTTCTGTACTAAAAACGGAAAATTAAATCGAAGTAAATCAACGACTTGTTAATTTTCCCATTCTAGATCCTTGCAGTGCTTGAAAAATATTTGAGAAAATGAGAAACCCTATAATAACAATAATAATAACAACAACAACAATCATAATAATAATAATAATAATAATAATAATAATGTTTTATCCATAGGATAGTGCAATAAAAATTTTGAAAAAAAATTCGTGCACATCATTAATGCAATTCCGTGCACTTACACATATTATTTTTTGCCCTCGGCAAGTGGCGTCCACTTAAAACTAAAAATTGAAGAAAAAATAAAACCATCGCCCAAGCGACAAATCATCCAGTGAGGAATATCGCTGACTCGCTAACTGTGCGCTCTTTATTTTGCCACGCAAATGAACGAGGTGCAGCTCTCGCTAAAATTCGCGTGTATTTACTCAGAAAAAAAATCCCGAGTTCGCGAGCCTAGCACAAGTGCACTGAAAAAATTACGTAGGAGAGAGAGTTAAAAAAAGAAAAAGAAGAAGAAAAATGATGGTCGAGATGGAGAAGGGATCAGACTGCTCCGTTAAGGCTCTTTTTTGTTTTGTTTTTTATTTTAAATAAAACTCGAAGGAAAGAAGAGAGTGTGAATTTTCGAATTCTGCATGGGATGTAGGGGCAGCATCGAATGAACTTTCGACGCAAAATGAGAAAATCTGCCATTTTCAATTATTTTCCGTCTAAAAATAATAGTAATCAGTGGTGGGAGAGGTTGGTTTGTTGTAAATCACTCGGCAAGTGCAGCTTGAGGTGGGAAATTTCCCAATCCGAGTCGTATGAAGTCGTACGGTGCAGTGAACTGTAACATAAAATAAGCGGAACTATTCATTTTTATCGAGTGGTTCAAAAGTTGATATATAGGCTTCCAAGGTGCTCGATATCAATTCAATACAACATATCAATATAGGACGAAAGTCAATTCCCCGTGGTTACCAATCCAATTCTTACTCATTATAAATTAGCAATGGAAATTTTTGTGCCGCGAGTTGCGTGGCAGATTAAAGCAATTCTACGGCAGAATAATTGTATTTAATATTCGTGTGTTTCTAATTTTATTAAATAGTGTAGGTCGCGCAAGTTTTCATCAATCGTGATAAACATAAGGGCAATAGGTAAAAAGTATTCGTAAGTAGTTGCCAGATTTGGGCAGCAATCATGTAAAGAGCCCTCGAGCCAAATATTTCCGAATAAGCTATAGACGTGAAAGTAACTTTTTGGAATTTTATGGCCAAGCACTGCAACTCAATATAAAGTACAATCGTATAAGAAAAATAAAAATAAAAAAATAAAAAGAATGAAAGGAATAAAAATCATTTAGAAAAACAGAACTGAATTATTCATTTGACAAATCAAGATCGGAGAGTATATTTTTTATAGACTCTTCTTCGGAATGGTTTAAAAAAAAAAACCGAGACGTCTTTGATGAAATATCTTTATAAGCTTGTTGTTTTAGTTACTCCGATTGAATATTTTTCAAATACTCGATAGTAAATTTGTACTTATCTTTCGTTACACGCATATCGATAGTCATTTTCATTTTACAAACAATTATTATTTAATATATGTGTTTAGATAACTTTTTTAATGGTTTTTCCTTTATTACACGGGGTTTCAAAATTGATAAAAATTAAATAATATTTAATCATAATGATAATAAAAATCTAAGCTACGATTTGATATATAGGTCAGAAGAAAATTTGTTTGTTTGTTTGTGTTTCTTTTGTTGTTTAATTTTTCATTAGTATTAATCATAATAATGCACAGCTGTTGTAAATAAATGAATAGTCTATGTTAAATGGCAGGGTAATAGAATTTGAATTTTCGTGAAGATGTAGAAAATTCAAAGAATAAAAAAGCTCTGGGAAAACATCTTATGTGAAATATAATCAATTATATGCATAAGGAAAAGCTCTGTATTAATACTATTTTAAAAGCTCTGACATACGCGGAAACAAATTTATAGACGCAATTAGAGATGGAACTTAACTTTGTTAAATGTACTGTAAAGACAGCAGAGCCCTGTCACATTTGCATGGATAGTTTTATATGATTTCACTCGCGTAGAAAATTTTAATACGCAGAGCAGATATAATACGAGCTTTGTTTTTCCTATTAGAATGCTTCGAATAGAATTTCAAGTCTGTATTTTGAATGCAGACTCTGAAATATTCCACAGAACAAGGACATGAAAAAGTGAGCAGCAAGTTTCAAAACAACCATAGAGCATCGTTGTACATTATATTCAGTATTTCCATCACAAAATCCATCAGAATTCGTAAAATTTACAGAAATGAGAATGACAATTTTTAATGGTTCGGTGTTAAATCATAAGTATTTCAAATATAATAATCATTCCAAAATAGACAATAGACAAAATCTATTGATGTTAACAATTGGAAGAAACACGGTATTTATCAAGTTTATTTGCATCCGTGCATAAATGTTATTCTAAGAACAGTATATTAAACTCTATATTGTAACGATTAATTTGCATAATTAAGTATATATATATATATATATATATATATATATATATATATATATATATATATATATAAAGTACATGTATTATCTAAAATGTATACAGACTGCAAACAATGTGATATTCGGATTCACTATGCGATTTCGTAAATTTCGAAGGACAAACTAAGAAATGTATGTTTATTGTAAACATATTATAAATTTTCGCGTCTAAAACATATTTGTGGAGGCTCGTGAGCGGTTATCGTAATCGTGCTTTTATACTTATAATTTATACGAAATATAAACTCGAAGCATTTAACCTTTTAAATTATCATTCGTTATCTAATCACGAACATATCGTCTTTGTGTCAAAAGCTGTTACCGCCCTTGAACGGTTGAATACGGTCACTGACTTTTGCGTAGATATTCGTGAAGCGTCGTAGTTGCGAAGAATGTGTAATTGTTCGAAGAGAATAAAATATAATACAATAAAATACAAGATGACCGTGTAAAAAACATATCACTACACGCAAGACTGAGAAATATCATTATTTAAGAGTTAGATGCTAGGATGATATACGAAGGCACAACATGTATCTTTATCAAGATAATGTATCATCGTTTATTCTCGGGAATTAAAGTATTGTTAGATAAAAAGATAGCGCGACTCGCTCGTGTAAACGAGGACTGCTGCGTATCTGTGGCTTTAGATATAAAGGCTCTGAACGGCTTGTGAGGTAGATTAAGGCTGTTGTGGAAGGAGCGTGCGATAGTCCGAGTTCCGAAACAAAAGCATACAAAGGGATAAAGAGCGTTGCCGTGAATGTAACCGGGGTACGCCAGACGATGAGTCAAGAACCTGAGAGAAGCTAAGCTGCTAATCAGAAGAAGACGCAAATTGTAAGGGGCCTGGACGCAGAGCCGAAGGCTTCGCTCCCACAGGCGCGGAGGCAGCGTCGTTTCATGAATGGGGCGTCCCGGGCCAACATGCGAAAATCGAATTCGCTCCTCGATAAATGGGATATCAACCTGGGCCACAGAGTCGCCGTTGGTTGTGGATTTCCACGGTAGTGTAGAGTTTACGGAAAGCAGGCATTAGTCGAAAATGCCCGAGGAGTCGTGCGCGACGCACGCGCTCGACTTGTGGAAAAGAGAGGAGGCACATAATAAGCGATATGATGTGTGGCGGAGGAGAAATGAAGGAGTAAGGCTGTAGGAGCAGGGGAATAAGAAAAAGAGAAGCAGAAATGATAAAAGGTGAGGGAGCGGTGCGAGAGGTGACCGGCCGCTAACAAGCGAGTGCCACGACGGGCCGGAGGGAGAGCACGAGAGGAGTGGGGAACGAGGGAATGAAGGAGGAGGTGGAGGAGAGATAGAGCAGGAAGGAGGCAGAGCGCTAACTGCCGCGTCTGGCTCGTTGTCCGCGGCCTGCAACGAGGACATTGGCGTAGGGACGCGGTGAGCCGTCGACTCGGCCATGGGCGTCGATTGCCGGCCGGCGATTCTGGGAAATCAATTGGGAGGCCGCGGAAAAGTATCTCAACCGACTGCCAATGCAAATTGCCTCGCTTGCCACGCTCGTCGAGAAGAAATGCAATTCCCGCGGTAGAACATAAACCAGAGTAAAAAAGAAAGGGGGGCGTCGTTACGTTAGGGCATCGCTTACGTTCACGCATGATTGGCCTCGTCGTATATTGCCGCGAGGCCCATCCACGGAACAGCGACTATGCTTGCCTGCTTTCTTGCCTCCACCCCTCCACCCACCCACCTTGCCACTCCACCTCGCCATTCTTTTTTCCTCGGCATAGCTCGTCCTTCGACTGGCTACAGGTCGAACACCTGTAATCATTCGGCTTCGCCGCAAAAAGGACCTCGTTTGACTCTCTCTCTCTCTCTCTCTCTCTCTCTCTCTCTCTTCTCGTTTGCACTCCTCATACTTCTTTTCTCTTCTTCAGCTCGTCGTTCTTCTATTATTCCCTCTTGTAAAGCAAGCGGGACGAAAAGAGCGAGCGAGCGTCAGATGGCAGGGAGAGGGGAATGGGGTAGATAAGGGGCTCGATCGACGATGACGACGACGTCCATGAAGCTGCGACTTGAACTGCTGCACACGGATATGCGCCAGCAGTCCTCTTTCCTTTCATTTTGACGCGCCCATCGAGTCGCTGCAATTTTTATTGTCCAACCAGAGTCACTTCAAAAGACTGCTTAGAGAAATGCCATGGAGATGCAAGACTCTGTTCGTTTTTTTTTTTGTTTTTTGTTTTTGTTTTTGATTTTTAATGGTAGACGACTCATTTCTAAAACTTGTCATTTTAAATATTATTATAAATTGTTGGAAATGGAATTCAAGCCTCGTAAAATCCTCGTTCCTCCATCTTCTCGTCGCTCGAAATTTCTCGGGTACCATTTAATGAGGCAGGTATTTGCTTGATCAAAGTCACTGTAACATATTGTAACGCATTTTATACAAAGTAGTTTTATGACAAGTTAATTGTCAATGTTGAGAGTTATTTTCGAACGAGTTAATGATTTTACAAACTTCATTATAAGTTAAATAATATACAAAATTCTTTCTACTTGATATATCAATACTTCATTCGAATGATTAAACACCTAATGGATTATATGCACTAGTAGGATTATGTGCATATTGTTTCATACTAATGGAATATAGGCAAAATTTCCTCACGTCAATATCACTTAAAAAATATATGGAAATTACTTGCTGTAATTATTTATATAAATAACTTCGGATTGGATCATTTATTTATTTTATAATAAGATATGCAAATTAATATTATTAATAAAAGATTGCAGACAGACTTTTTTTTTAATACTAAATAGCCAACAATTGCGTATACTAAAAACCTAAATTTATCGATCAATGGGAATGTAATATTGTAGTATCATAAAGAAAGTTTTAACGAAACATATATCATATACTTAAAAAACTCATCCAATGCAAAACTTGTTTTAAGAATGACAATTTTAAACTTGTCATAAATAATCGACTGTGCATTTCTTAATGTTGGCAATTCAAGCGCTGTATAATATAATACAACAATCGTTAAATTTAAATCTTAAATTTAATTGAAATCACTTGTAACGAGATGCTATAATGTTTCACACTGATAGAAGATAAAATTTTGAATGAATAACGTAATGTTCTGTATTAAATTATACCATATATATATATATATATAAATTAAAATTTTATATAGATATTCATTATTATTGACGAAAATATATAATGAAATTTTATTGCTTAGTATTTACAACAACAACAACAACAACAACAACAACAACAACAAAATATGTATAATCAAATAATATTTGAATAATAACGTAAACTTATTTGAATATTCTTCCTGTACATTGTGTTGGTCTAATGAAACAGATGATTCATGAAAGCTCTATTATGTTTTACCTTAATACATTGGTCATATTTTTTTCATATTTTCTGCTGCCTAAGCGTACCTTCTAATAATCGTTGATTAATAAGATTTATTTAGCGACTCACTCACTAAAGCTTTGGAATATGTACTATATACTGTACTATATCCATTTTCCTTAATCTTGAATATTTTTCATATCCTATATCTTTTAACAGCTAATATAATTTACTTAATGCTAATCACTTATAGAGATTTTGTCTAATGTTCATAAATTTAATGCTATTTAAGACTGTGTTCGTATCGATACAAAATACAAGTATTACCGATGGAAGAATCCCAGATCTCTTGGTTAAAACAAATGAGAGGCTATAAAGTAAGGTCGTTCGAAATTGCACGTATGAACGTAAAGAGGGAGAGCGAGTGAGAGCTCGTTCTGGAGGAGTATTGTTGGCGAGACTCGCAAATCGTGATAACGGAGGAATAAAGAAGGAAGGAGCAGTTAAACAGCTCTATCGAGACGAAAAAGAGGCCAAAAAGAAATTTTCCTTCGGTGGCAGCTGGACGAAACTCTAGTCTGCCGTCATAAAGCGAGGATCGAGTGGCAGCTGTATTAGGACAGACACGCGAGCGCATACGTTCGCGCAATAGGAATTGTATGTACCGCGGCTGAAAAGGTTCATAAAGCAACAGACTCGACAGCATCTTCCCGCGACCAAAGCTCGTAAACGAAGCAGCAGCAGCAGCAGCAGCAGCAGCAGCAGCAGCAACTCTCGTCCTTTTGGCCCCTCGACCAAATTATCGCGATTAAAGGCCGAGCGGCCTGGAAACAATTTTGATCCTCGTTTACTTGATGCGGCCTCCGGCGTAATTGGGCTTCTCCCACCACCACCACCCCCTCCCATTCTCTTCATCCTCCTCATCCCATTCATCCTTCCTTACTTCCTCCTGGACTGCTCTCGCGCCTTCTCCTCGCGAAGGGATACGTGCGTCCTGGTTCCGGCGACTCGAGTGCAATGTCCGATCTTCAATCGTGCCACGTGCACCAGACTACGTCACTTTAATTGTTCATCCCGCGAAACTTATGAAAGGGGCTGCCGAGGACGGACGGTTGTTGGCAATTGGTGAGGGATGGGGGGGGGGGCGCAGAGATCATTATTATTCTTTCGATCGTTATGGAGGCACGAATCCGCCAAAATTAGAGGCCTGCCGAGAAATTTGCAAGTACGGATAACGAGCGGCTACTTTAACTCTCCCTGCGGAGCCCAGCAGGCCCAATCTAATTATCCGCCGAGCTTCGTAGGGAGCGCTTCGAAAAGAGAAAAATAGCCGCAGATGCGCCCCACTCGCTGACGATGGACGTTGAAAGGTATTATGACACGTTTTATTATTTAAGTGCAGCTCGCGTGCCTCTGCCTGGCCGTCCCAGGGGCAGAGGCGAAACTCGTTTCTCCGGGGACTCGTTTGCGCGCCTAGGATCACGAGGAAGCTACCCTCTTCCTCTCGATACCTAACCGCCGGACGAAGAGGAAGGTACACAGGGTCGCGCGAGGGTGCGAAAAGTAAGAGGGTCATTAAGGTCCTTGCCTCTCCCCTCTGTCGGCGCGAGTGCGTTAAACCGTTTTTCTTTTGGAAGAGGGCCCGCGAGCGCTCATTTGCGCGGGGAAGGTGAGAACGTCGCGGGCACAAAGGGAATAATAATGCGTTAAAGTGCATAATGAGGTGAAGAAACTATAGCTCGGCGGCTCTTTAGTACGGTAGCGCGGTCTGGGCTTCAAAGGTCTCAAAAGCCCTTCCCCACGGCTGTCCAACCCCTCTCCCTCTAGCCTCCCCAGCTTTTCAGCCGCCCGGCATTCAATGGAGACTAGCGCGCCCGTTTGATCGTGACACGCGTCCGCGGCCGTGGATGATCCCGGTACATAATTAAGACTCGCCAAGACGGGATCTTTTGCGGCGGCGGCGGCGGCGGCGGCGGCAGCAGCGACAGTAGTAATGGCAACGATGACTCTGATCCGGAAGATCGACTCCGGAGAAAGCGTTCGCCCGGGAAGGAACAAGGCGAGCAAGGAGTGTCACGATCGCACTTTTTGCTCAGGTGTCTGATTAAGAAGGCGTTGGGGCAGGAGTAGAAGGGGGGGGGAACAGTTACAATACCGATAAAGGACATATAATAACGCTCGAGGTGTTATTCTGTCGCCGAAGCGCAAACTACTTCATCTCTACTTGTTCTCCGCTTTCCTCGTGGCCGCTCTTCAGGCTCGTTCCGCCTCGGGATACGCGTTTAATTAAAATGACATTAATAGCGCGAGCCGCTAGCGATGTAGGCAAATAATGAGCGCAGTTGGGACTCGCCGACAAAAGAAGTGTCTTGGCAAATGTCGTAAATGCGAGTGAGGGAGGAGAGGCACTCGTATATCGCACTCGTATATCTGCGCGTAAACATGTGCAAACAAGCGGGCGGATGCTGGCGTAAGTAGATCCGGCGAAAGTTATTGTGACTCGTAAAGTGTCTAAAAAATGTAGGTTTACCTTATTTATTGCCAGCTGAATTCTATAAACAAGATTGCCATATGCGTTAAGGAAGCTTTTAAACAAGAGCCGATTAGTTGTTTTGCGTTGAGATATCTTTCCGCCTAATCTTTCCTAAAATCTCAAACGTACAAACTGACAAATTAACAGATTACCAATCACAGACTTTATTATAGAAATTTTAAGAAGCTTTAAAATAATCACAATTATTATGAATGTTCCAGGCTCACCGACCCTACTCTTCGCCACAAACAAGGACATCCGCTTGGCAAATGTCTCTCGTTCGAACAAGGTCGTATCGACGATCGTCAAAGACCTGTCGGAGAGCGTCACCCTCGATTTCTATTACGAACGCAGCCTCGTATGTTGGTCGGACAGCGCCCTTGAGATGATACAATGCGTTCGCACGAACGGCACATACACGCAGGTACGTTTTAATCGATGGAACACGATGGAGGCATTTTGTAACGAGTCACTGGTAACTCATTATAATTGTGCGAAGCAGCAAAATGATTTTATACGGCTTTAAACGGCTCAAAAATATGAAAAGCTCGCTGCTACTCGTTAAATGCGCCTCGTCAATGCTTTTTAGGAGCCAATAACCGTGGTGAACTCGAGTCTGATCTCGCCGGACGGCTTAGCCTGCGACTGGTACACGGGGAAGCTCTACTGGACGGACGGGGAGAAGAACCGGATCGAAGTGACGAGTATTGACGGCCGTCACCGGAAAGTTCTCTTCTGGACGGAGATTTATCAACCTCGGGCGATCGCCCTTGTCCCGATGAAAAGCATATTCTTCTGGACGGACTGGGGCGACGTGCCGAAGATCGAGCGAGCCGCTATGAACGGCGAGCCCAGTTCAAGAAGCGTCGTCGTGTCGGATGATATATTCTGGCCCAATGGGCTCACCATCGATTATGAGAATGATCTCGTCTACTGGGTCGATGGAAGGTTCGCATTATTCATTATTTAATCGCTAATTAAAGTTAATTTATATTTTATTGGCTTATGAAACGATGACATATGAAATGAAGAGAATATCATCTGTTGTTGATAATTTAAGTTTGCGATAAGTTAAATTTAGTGGGCCGTTTTCGGTAGGTATTGTGGGATATCATCATAAATCCTGGTTTTAAATAGGCACAAGTTCATCGAGGTAATGGACTATTATGGACGAAACCGTCGAAAAATCGTAAGCGACGGCCTCGAGTATCCATTCGCCATAACGTACTTCGACCAGCGTCTCTACTGGACGGACTGGCGCACCTGGTGCATTCATGCCCTGGATCTAAGGCCGACGAACGCCCGACCCCGTGATATCTTTCACGGTGAATACATACCCGGTGATATCGAGGTGTGGGACCCGAGGAGGCAGCCGCCAGCAGTCAATAATCCATGCAAGTTCAATAACGGCAACTGCTCGCACCTCTGCCTTTTGAGCCCCAAGGCCCCGGGCTACAGTTGTGCCTGTCCCACTGGCGTTAAGCTCGTGGATAATTACAATTGCGCCAAGGGACCCCAGGAGCTGCTGCTCATCGTCCAGAGAAACGAGATCAGCATGATATCCCTCGACTCGCCGGATTACACAAACTTCGTTCTACCTCTTATTGGCATTAAGCACGCCATCGCCATTGACTTTGACCCCATCGACGAGATGTTTTATTGGACCGACGAACAAGCTCACGTTATTAGAAGGTAGGCTTTCGACTTCCGAGACTTCCGGGGCTCGCGCCCCTCACATTCCCATCGTCTTGGGCCTCCTCAACGCCACTGACTTCGCTCTATATTTTCTCTCACTCTCTCTCTCTCTCTTTCTCCAGAGCTTACCTAGATGGTTCCGGTCAAGAGGATATTTTAACGAGCGAAGTGAAGAGCGCCGATGGAATAGCAGTCGACTGGATAGCCCGGAACTTGTACTGGACGGACACGGGCACCGATCGTATCGAAGTTGCACGCCTGAACGGCACCAGCAGAAAAGTCCTGATTCACGAAGACCTCGGCGAGCCGAGAGCTATAGCTCTTGCGCTTGAGCTTGGCTGGATGTTCTGGACGGACTGGGATGACAAGAGGCCAAAGATCGAACGGAGCAATTTGGATGGCAGCGAAAGAACTTTGCTAATCACCAAGGATATCGTCTGGCCGAACGGCATTGCTTTGGATCTTGAAAGAAAAAAAGTTTACTGGTGCGATGCCAAGACCGATAAAATTGAGGTTTGCATTACATTCGGACTTGAAGTCATTTTCATTTTATTACCTGCTTCATTACATAAATATCCCCCACCCCCTACCCACCACCCTCGCTTTACACAATTAAGCGGGGCCTACGGCAATTGTTTCGCCCATTATCATTACTGTTACATATTTTTGTTAATAATACTTGTAATACGGATGCGTTTTAATAATACTTTGTGGCCGCAGGTCTGTAATATGGATGGCACCGATCGTCGAGAAGTGATTACGGAGAATCTGCCTCACCTGTTTGGATTCAGTTTACTCGGAGATTTTCTGTACTGGACGGATTGGCAGAGACGAAGCATCGATCGAGCCCACAAATTAACGGGTGGCGAGAGAGAAATTATCGTCGAACAGTTTCCCAATGTTATGGGACTCAAAGCTGTACATCGTGGAACGCCCAACGGCACTAATCCCTGCGCAAAGAACAATGGTGGATGTAGTCATCTATGTTTAAATCGGCCATGGGATAAGTACGTGTGCGCTTGCCAAATTGGTTACGAGCTTACCAAAGATATGAAGACTTGCGTTGTGCCAGAGGCATTTCTCCTTTTCACGAGAAAAGACAAAATTCGCAGAAATAGTATTGAAAATGCGAATAATGACAATATCATACCAATTACAGGAATCAAGGACGCAAGGTTAGTTTGACAAGTCAACTTTAAACGTATAACTGACTGACCGTTAAAATACCTCTCAGAGTAGCGTGATGGTTTTAAGTTTTCAGTTTTTAAACTACACACGTCTCACGCAATCATCCAATTAACATGTTTTTTTTTTTTTGCTCCTTTCCAGCGCCCTTGATTTCGAAATATCCGATAATCGGCTCTACTGGACGGATGTTAAGCTAAAAAGTATAACTCGTGCCTTTATGAACGGTTCAGAGGTTGAGAAAGTGGTAGATCTCGGCTTGGAAACACCAGATGGTTTGGCGATAGATTGGATAGCACATAATCTTTATTGGAGTGACACGGGGACACGAAGAATCGAGATTGTCCACCTCGAGGGTTACAGCCGTAGAGTACTCATTTGGCAAGATCTTATCGAGCCGAGATGCCTCGCACTCGATCCCGAAAGAGGGTAACTTGAGCGTGCATTATTTTTTCCTATTAAATGTCTTTAGCTTGATATTGCAAGTCATTGCTTTACAATCAATGTGTAACCTTGTGGCACGCGCGCCCATAAAGTTTATTGGAAACAAAAAACAAAAAAAAAAATCCAGTCAAGCAAACATTTGACAATTGATTTCAGATTCTTCTATTGGACAGAATGGGGTAATACCGGTAGCATAGAACGAGCTTGGTTGGATGGAACACATCGACAGATCATTATATCCGACATTGGTCGCACCAATGGATTGACCATAGATCACGAAGCTCGTCGTCTATATTGGGCCGATCTTTTCACCCCTGCCATCGATAGTTACGACTTAATAACGAAAAAACGCAGGCCTATCATCACCGAAAAAATCGGCTATCCATTCAGCATTACGCAATACGAGGACTATATTTATTGGACAGATTGGAATACGGGGGATATAGAGCGAGCCAATAAAACAACCGGAGGAAATCGAACTAAAATTCATGGCAATTTAGAGTCAGTTACGGATCTTTCGGTTTGCCACAAATCCAGGCAACCTGGTTGGAACACCTGCGGCAGTAACAACGGCGACTGTAGCCACTTGTGTATAGCCTTACCCGGCAATGCCGGTGCTTTTTCAAAGAATCACAAGTGCGCCTGCCCCACCCATTACAATCTTGCTCCCGATAATAGAACATGTATCGGTAGGTGGCACAGGCATAACGTTCGTTATCGCGTGATCCCATATATCCTCGTATAACTAATTGTAATGAGACGTGTAATTATGCTTTACAGCCCCGAAGAACTTCATGGTATACAGCTTCCGTAATGTCATGGGACGATTACTGCCGGACACATACGACTGCCCGGACATAACTCTTCGCGTCCAGGGCTTGAAGAACGTGCGCGCTATAGAGTTTGATCCAATAAGTCAGTACATATATTGGATACGCACGGGTGACGGTCGAAGCTCGTCGATTAGAAAGGCTTTGGAGAATCGTACCCACGCGGTGGTCGTTTTACCGGGGGGCACGGGCCACCCGTTCGACTTGGCTCTCGATCCGCTGGGTCGCTTACTGTTCTGGTCCTGCTCGATGAACGACGCAATCAACGTTACGAGGCTTGACAGCGACTCGACGATCGGCGTTGTTGTCAAGGGCGAGGGCGAGAAGCCGAGAAATATCGCCCTACATCCGGAAAGGAGACTGCTTTTCTGGACGGACATCGGCGAGAAGATGCGCGTTATGCAGAGTTTGATGGACGGGAAAGAGAGAGTCGTTATTGCGTCGGATCTCGAGTCACCGACGAGCTTAGCCGTTGACACATCCGCGAACCTCGTCTACTGGGCTCACGGCCGGCAGATCGAATTTGCCGAGCTCGATGGAGCCAATCGACGCATCCTCCTCGCAGCTATTCAAGGATCTCTCGTGCATCTTTCCGTGCTCTTCGATTACGTTTACTGGTTCGTAACATTATTGAATTAAACGTAGCCTTACATTTCGGCATTCTCTACGTTTACAAAACTTTATATCGTCGACGCTCTAATTACTTTAATGTTTCCTCTCAATCGTTACGGATCCCCTTTCTTTCTATTATCCACTTATCCAAGTAAGAATTCGCTCAAATTTCATAAGACTCTCTGCAATTATAATAAGCCTGTAGAGAAATATAATGATTGCGGATAAATGAGAGACGCGGAGGATGAGGTGATTTTGTAACCTTTAACGAACGTAAATTTTAGGTTCGACCGTGACAGTCAAGTCGTCGAGCGGGTAGAGAAGACCACGGGTTCCGGAAGAAAAGTTGTGATGAGCAATCGAGCTCTCACGGATTTGGTATCCGTGCGAATGCCCAGCAATTTGGCGATGGAGTCGAACGTGTGTAGTCCGCTCCACGAGTACGGCGGCTGTTCGCATATTTGCATTGGAGGGGGCGCGAGCTCCAGATGCTCCTGTCCTCAATCGCTCGTACTCGCCGATGATGGCAAAAATTGCAGAGTTGCTCCAACTTGCGGAGCCGACCATTTCACATGCCTTAGCTCCAAGACCACTGACTCAAAGGACTGCATCCCGGCCACCTGGAAATGCGATGGACAGCGAGATTGCGCAGACGGCAGCGACGAGATTGGTTGTCCGCCTTGCAATCGGGACATGTACTTTGAGTGTCACAATGGCCATTGCATCGGTAATTTTAATTGCTTGGATAATCATCTTTTTTTATTTCAAGCTTATTAAAAAGTGTAAATTTTGAGTGTAAATTTTATTATAATACAAACAACGATTGAGATCCAGAGAGAGAGAGAGAGAGAGAGAGAGAGAGAGAGAGAGAGAAAGCATATGATAAAATACCTAAAATATATAAGTTATTTATTTTAATGAACTTGAAAGTTAAAAGAATGGAGTGCTTTTCCCTCATTACGTATGAGATTAAATTTTTTATAGTTAACACTTGTACTAAAAGTAATGCAATAACATATAGTATATTTTTTTCAAAATATTTTTAACTTTACATGTTACATTCACTTATATCGTTAACGCTTCTCAATTATGCGTTTTGTCCATCATTTACAACACAAAATTGTAACCTTAGACAATATGCTGGGAATTTTTAATTTATCAAAAATTGATACTCGCATTATTTTACGAATTCCTCTATATCAATTAATTTTTATATTAATGTGTTATTTATATCAACCTTCATAAAACATCTTCTCGACTCATTAAGTAACGTAAAAGATCAGATTTGTATATGTAGAAAAAAAGTATTAAAAATGAATAATTAATACTATAATAATAATAAAATTAATACTATAATAATAATAAAATTAATACTATAATAATATATAATAATAATAAAAATATTAGAAATGAATCGAAAATGTCGAATCGAAAAACTATAATAAAACAAATTGTAGACAACGCATGGGTGTGCGACGGTACATCGCAGTGCAGCAACGGTGAAGACGAGATCAACTGTTGCCGTCCGGGCCAATTTCGATGTACGACCTCGGGCGTCTGCATCTCAGCAGCGGCACTCTGCGACGACTGGGAGAACTGCGCGGACGGCAGCGACGAGTCAGCTCCAGCCTGCGCCTCGGCCAACAACCACCGTCAGGCTGTTGACCCGAGCCTCGATTCCGGCAAGAGCACCTACGTCGTCGCCGTACTCGTCGTCATGGCTGCGACCGTCCTCGTCGTCCTCGGTTTCTATTACTGCAGACGCCGCCTCGCCGGCAATGAGGACCTCCCTGATATACTTCACGATTCAGCGGGTGACCCACTCTCGCCCAAAAGCTGCAGAATGGCCAAACCGATGCTCGCTCAAAAAAACGCGAGGAAGGACCTCAAGCCGGGAATGGCTGTCAGGATGTCGACTCTCAATGGCAGTAGTATTAGCTCAAGCTACGATCGGAGCCACATAACAGGTTTTTCCTACTGTTCGTTATCCCTCATTTTTATGAAACATTATTTAACTTAGCCAAGTGTGCACAATATCACGACGAGTCCTTAATTTCATTTGCTTAAAACGACGCAAATCCCTTGCCAAATTTGTCCAACAATTAACCGTAACTCGAGCTTTCAAATAATAATCATAACAACAACAACAACAATAATAATAATAATAATAATAATAATATTAATAATAATAACGCTAAGGTATATTTAATACTAAGCGATTGTCTGATTCTTAAGTTGCAATTCAACTCCGTATTACTCAATCAAATAACTTGGATCGTACGTTGGATCGTATCTTGTCCTTTGTAGGAACGAGAGTCACTGCGCACACTTGGCTACAACGAGCCTTGGCCGGAAACATGATTAATATTCGGTGATCGCATTGGTTCTTCTTGCAGGTGCATCGAGCTCGACTCACGGCAGCTCGGCCGGCGGTTACCCCCAAGAGACGCTCAACCCGCCACCGAGTCCCGCAACTACGGCCAACTCCACCCGCTGCTCGAGTAGCAATGCTTCCCGATATCGGCCCTACCGCAACTATCGGAGTATCAACCAGCCGCCACCCCCGACGCCCTGCAGTACGGACGTGTGCGACGAGTCCGACAGCAACTACCCAGCGATACCGAGGTTCAGGTACGGACATGCTGGAGAGCCCTTTCCGCCACCGCCGACCCCGAGGTCGGTATACCAGAGCGACACGGCAATCAGCTGCCCGCCGTCGCCGAGCTCGAGGTCGTCGACCTACTTCAGTCCCTTACCGCCGCCTCCATCGCCTGTACCTTGAATCAGCCGCTTCGGACGACGACTCCTCCTCCTCCTCCTTGGGCGAGCCGTCCTCCGAGTGGCGCCAGACTCTCGAGGAGCAAGAGAGGCCGTATTGAGTTTTAACTCTTCATGTTGTTTATTACTGTCCTTAAGCCACGATATCCTAGAGCAATATTTTCTTACTGATGATAATATTAGCAGCTGAGACAAAGGCTTCTTATTTATCCAATAGTCTTAGTAAAGCGATTTAGACACCTAAGCTCACATGTATATATAGAACTCTTGTAAATTATGCGTAAAATTTCCATTAGCAACGTTTCAAAGATAAAATTATTGCCGTAATGCGAGCTTAAAATTGTCATAAATGGCATGGTATTGCCATTTGATAAGTGCAAATATTCGATTAATAAGTTAACTAATAAAGCCCGTGTACAAAGTTTGAAAGCCATTGTGCCTAAATACGATCGTGGCTACTTCCACGGTCACTTGTAAATAAAAAAGTGCGACTGTGCAATGCTTAATGAGAGACAAAAGAGAGTGACTGATTGTAAAAGTGTATAATAGAAGAACAACAATGTGTACATGACATAATATTATTATTTAACCAATAAGTGAATTCGATTCCAAAATGTTTTGCTCGATTTTATCGTTAATCCGAATACTTATTTAAGACTAAAAAACTGCAAATTCAAATTATATTTATATTTCTAACTATTGTTTCCGCCTATACATTACATATCTTTAGGTCAGATTTGAAAAACGATGTCCCATATATAATACAGAATTAGGTTGATAATAATCGTATTCGGTATTGGTGGAAAGTCGCTCCTTGCAATTTTAACAAATTTTACATCATCTAATTCGTAATCCTTCCGCTACGCATGAACTTGAACATCAATAATGGATATTAAAATACCTTGTTCTTTATTTCCCATTAACCCCTTATTTGAACATTTTTACAGAGTTACGTTTATGTTACATTACGAAAAAGCGTGCAAAAGAGCTGATGGGCGCAGTAACATATACATTTAATTCTATTCGAGCGAGGTTTCTTTTTTTTTTTTAATCGAATACATTTCTTAATGCATAACGAACAAAGCAAAGAACAAATGGGCAGAAAATTTAATTACAAGTCTTTAATTTAATCTGTATTTTGTTACTCGTGATTAAAATCTATTATCGCATACGCTCGCACACGCGCGCACGCACATACACGTACACACATTTATTATTATTATTATTATTATTATTATTATTATTATATATATATATATATATATACCTCGTTATGATTATTGATATTATCACAGAACGCATATACATTATTTACGTTCCTTAATCGACGTGGCATTTAACCAAAGGCTGCATCCAACATACTGTATTATACTTTTACAGAATCAATAAGTTAACACATTTTAGAAAGTTTTATATTACGCAATTTTTGAAAGCATTTACAAAGAGATTTATTCATAATTAACATTTTTCATCGAGCTTATAGCAAGTATAAATACCGCAAAGATAGCATTAAATCGAAATGTGTTTATGTAAATATCTGAAAGTATATAATTAATAATAGGGTGGTTAGTATGTAGGCAATTAAATATAATGGTTATTGTTAACGTTAAAAAATAAAAAATCGAATTTTCTCCAAAATTGTTCGATTTTTTGGCTGTTCTGCAAGTTTCTGGTACAACGAGATATATATTATCAATTAACATAATCAGATATTATTTAACTAATCATAAGCATATAATGGGCCTGTCTCATAACCATAAAAGCTATTTAAAAAAAAAAAAATAAGCATTGAAGTTTTAAACTAATTTATAAAAATTCTATTGCATTATATATTTACTATTTTGCTACTCTGAATTTTTTTCTTATACCTAAGCTTTTAAGTTATTAGCAGTACTGCATTTTTTAAATTGATCGTATTCAATTTTTCTTACAATAAATTACTATACCAATATATCTATTTATTTTGACAAAATGTCTGAATATAAATTATTATTATTAATATAAGTACGGTGTATAATTAATGGCGATAAATGGTAACATTTCTTATAAAAACATAAAGATTTTAAATTCGAATTTTAGCAAACATCAAATCGTATTTACGCGCATAAATACTATGTACTTAAAAAGAAAAACAATTTAAATTAAATCTGTATATTCGTATAATTAGATTTATATATCATAATGTATATTTCTTGCATTAGCATTAATAATATTTGAAATTATAAGCGGTTTTTAAAAATCAAAATTTGCGTTTGGTATTTTAATTATTATAGCATATGATTATTTTTATAATCAAATCACTATCAAATCGACTTCCCAATATTAAAACGGCTAAATTAATAATTGATACCAGTAAAAGAATCAATGATATTTTATATTTCCAAATTTATATTAAATTCTTATAATTGCTAATATAAATATGATTGATTTTTATTATCATAATTATTTTTGAACTTTCTCTTATATGTATCATTTTAAGGCTTCGAAAGCTATTAGTTCTTGCGTAAATATTACTTAGATTGCCCACTACGTTTATTGTGACTTTTAATTCGTTCTGCTTGTTTTAAATTTAACGTAAGCATTCTTTTTTTTTTATATAAAAAATAATTATCATCATAAAATTAATTCGTTTCTAATGGACCATAAATTTTAATTTCTAATTGTTTTGCGAAGACGAACGAAGAAATCAATTTATGACCTCACCGATATTATAATAATCGATTTAAATTACAGTAATATATTAATATAGTCATTGGTATTATAGACGTTTATAATACTATGATATTTTGCTTCATAAATGTCTTTGATAAATGCACAAAGCTTTAGTGAAAATGAACTACAAAAATGTAGAGAAAATAATTATTAAAATAAATTAATTATATAATCGAATGTGTTAAGTTAATTGGTCCAATAACATTAATTTGACAAATACAAGAAGCCCATCATTCCAATTTTATCTACATATAAAGAATTTATTAATAATACATATAATCTTAGTGTCATTTAATAAAAACATTTTCTTCGACATTTACTCGCATTCAATGTACAACTAACAAAGTCAAAATCATATAATCACATGTTTGTGTAAAAAGTGTATATTTATTATTTGAAAAGGGCTTAAAGGCTACTGGTGTATAATATTAATTCTACTGAAATTCCAAATAAATCACTCTGAACTTATAGCTGCAAAAATATATATATAAAAAAAAGAAAAAAAAATAATAATGAATATCAATTTCAATTTCAAATATTATATATGTAATTAGAAAATATTCGTATCTAAGTTTAAAAAGCACGAATTACTAAATTATAACTCATTGGAATATCTGTTATATACAACTGTTTTAATGCATATTTGTATTTAATACACGTGTTACATTTTTAAAATTCTTACACCAATGTAATTAAATTATAACTGAAAAAAAGTCTATTTTAATAAATGAAAGGGGACAGTTAATACATGTAATGAAGAGAAAAACTTCCTGTGATGAAAATCACACTCGTCGTGCCATAAGTCAGCGATATTTATAAAATAGAAATGATAATCACTTAACGACGTGTGTTTAAGAGCTGTTATTTTTATTGTAATAATTCGCGATTACACATCTTTGTATGGCGATGAATTACAAAACTATCAAGTGGACTAAATATTTAATTGTCTCGTGATTGATACAGTCCACTGCTACTCGAGATTTAAATTTCCTGTACTGTTATGCAAAAAAGGTATCCTTATTCAGTATTGTAAGACTGACGTTGACACCTCTATATTTTTTTACATTCATATCAATGTATCGCGATTTATTCATATGTAAAATATTTGTACAGAACAAGAAATAAAAATAAAATTTTGTTAACATATTTTAAATCAATTCTAAACGTATTTGTATTATTTTATTTACCTATTACTTCTATAATTCATATTTCATTCCACAATTTTTGCTATATCATAATTATTAATGCATATTATGTTGTTAAAACTGAAAATTATTCTATGACGCAAGATGACAAGAAAACTTAATCGATGTAAATGGAAACTAACGAATAAATTTTACAATATTTAACATCTGTATATTACAAATATTAAATAGTACATAAATATTTTATTTATAACGTTACAGTCATTAAAAGTCCAAATTTGCCACTGTAAATAAATACATTTCATAGAAAATGTATTAAACTCTAAAAATTGGAATAGTTTAAAATATGACGCATTAACAATAGATTAACAATGAAAGTAGAAAATAATTATTCTTCAGATAAATAAAGCTTCATACTATATAATAAAATCTTCTATGTAAATCATAATACACAAAGTTAATGTGATATTTTTTGTGAATTAAAATTTTAAAAACATAAACATTAAAAAGAATTCAATAAAAATGAGTCATAAAAAATGTATATGGAAGGAATTAAAAAAAAAATATATAAAAAATATAGTACAAAATTTCTCTCTCTCTCTCTCTCTCTCTCTCTGTCTATCTATCTATCTATCTATCTATCTCTATCTCTCGCTCCTTCTCTTTCTTCCTCTCCTAATAGGAGTCTCCTAATAGATAATACTATCTATCTCTATCTCTCGCTCCTTCTCTTTCTTCCTCTCCTATTATCTGGGATAAAAATTTTTTTTGTAAAAAAAGGTTTTAACTCCTTGAATTAATTGATATAAGATACATACATCAATTTTTGTTTTTAAAATAAAGTCTGAAGCGAATTATAAAGTAATCGTAATTACACATGAACAAATACGCAGACCCTATTGAATTTTTAAATAGATGTAATATTTAATAATATTCATAATAATAATTGTTATTTTAACATTGGTAATATAATTTTAATAGTGTAAAGGTTCACATACAAATCACAGTAATGAAAAGATTTCAAATTTGGCCTGGAAATGAAACATCGTTAGTTTGAGTCATTCGAATAACGAATGTTAGTCAACACTCAAAACAAATGCATGCTAATTAATTTTCTAATCGTACATTCAATTATCTTTACTTTATAACAGTAAATATTGACGCATCTATAAATTTGTTGACCTAAGCATGTTTGTTATTTTTCTTAAGTTTGTAACGACTACTATTTTGTTAATACAGTTTTAAAACATTCTCAGTACGACATCTTTATAAATTATATTCTTTATCTGGGAATTTAAAATGATATATTAGGTAGATTAGTAATAATGGAACGGAAAATATAGCACTTAATTTTAACCGCTATACTAACATACGTTATATTTCCGACAAAGAGAGTAACTTAATAATGTTTGTATTACTATTATATATTAATTTAAGTGAATTGGAAAATATTCAAAAAATATAAAACAGATAATTTCCATAAATTATAGGAACCATAATTCGTAAAAAAAAAAAAAGATGAGATGCAAATATTTCATCACGTAGCAAAATAGAAACAGGAAAGTGATAAAATTTCGGAAAAAAATAATAATATTAATATATGAATACGATTGCGCGCGCGTTTGTGTGATAATTTCATTTATAGTTTATATGGACAGTAAATTAAATGATTTTTATATAAAAAAAATAAAATAAAAGAAATGTTAATGCGTAATAAATGAAAATGATTGGAATCACGTTCGACAATAGACTAGAATTTTTCAGAATCTTAAAATTATATAATAATATTAAAGGTTCATTATGTTTGTGAATGCAAACAGACAATAAATACATTAATAAATGTGAAATTTTTGTATGGAAATGCTAATTCGGTTTTGCAAATATCTATTTTAATAACCGAAGAATATTATGTACATAAAATGTATATTTTTGAAAAGTTTTAAGATGTGCTATAATATTTGTTTTTAAAAACTATTTAGATATGATTCGAAACAAGAAAGCTTTTACATGTCGTTAGAACAATTGAAGAAAAAAATTGATTAGCACAAATGACAAGAAAAATTATTTTATTTATAAAATATTAATAATTCTATACCATCTTGGAGAATGATAATCCAAGATCTTAAAACATTACTAAATAATTAATTATTTTACTGCTATGATGATATTTATATATACCGAGTTTTTATATATTACTGTGAGCAAGACACATCCTAACAAATATGTTTACCACTTGCAATAATTTTCCAAGTACCACGCGTCAAATTTAGTAGCTTATTATAATAAGTTTAATAATTTCCTTTATTTTTTAATTTCATGAAATCATACCCATTTATATCACAATTATTATTAATACAGTAACATTCAATATTATGCGATTTGTTTTAAAAATCTGCTACTGTCAATGTTACTGTAAAATGTACAAGCTCTTATCTTACAAAAGCAGCCCTGCCATAATAGAAGCCACAAGTTTATTAATCACAAAATGTAATACTTCATGAATTGATTAAATAAATAATACAAGTGGTAATATTTTGGAGGAGAATAAAATTAATACGTTATAGTTGCTGAGAGAAAATTAATTTTATTATCATGATAATCTTAAGGTTCGATTTTATTATCATAATAATCTTAAGGATAATCCTGATGCGATTACTTCCATTTGTTCAAAGAATTTTTATATCTTCCTGGATTTTCTTTTTCGTCTTGGGTAGCTAATTCTTCATCAATGAGTAATTCGAAATTACCCATTGCCTCTCTCGTTGGACATTTATTCCACCTGACACTGCAACATAAGTGTATCGTGTCTATGTTAATGTTTCATAAAAATAAAATCGATTTCTAATAATTTATGCTCGTTAAATGATGGTACTTACTCTGGAATACCATCGGGAGGTAACACTACAGAAATTATATTATCAATAAGTTTGTATTTTAAAATTCTATCGTTAACCGTCGTCGATGTAAGCGATGGGGATGCATTCACCTACAATTAAATTAATGCGCTTAGCTTAATATTAATAAAGCAGAGGTATAATTTCTAATTCATTAATGTGAAATGAATCAGAAACCTCGATTAACCAGGGCTTTAATTTATTATCGATAATGATGTCATAGCCGTAACATTCAAAGCAGTGTCGATCGTTGGCCATTACAGGGGCCACAGCTCGCAACGAATGCACAATGCACCAAGTGATGTTAGAAAACAATTTCTCCGTCACGGCTTTGCCTCTTGTGCTCTCCAAATACAAGCGAAGATTTTGCACACTCAATTTACCGCCATGTAAGCTATTATACTCATCCTAGGGTAAAGTTAAGCTTCTTCAGTTCTAATTCTCAATTCGATTCTTGAAAACTTGTACGAGTACAAAAACTTACCCCATGTTTTTGTACAGACACATTGGTTAAATGAACATACATATTATCTAATTCTTGAATACTGGTGTCGTACTTAACTGTACAGAAACGACAAAAGCCTAATTTAAATAAATATGCCTTCAATGGCCTAAACGACGTTATTAAAACGTAAAGTCGGAGATCGAATTTTTTCCCACCTATTAAGAGAGGATTATCGATGTATCTAAAATAAAAAATTTACCATTAGTTTTGATTCCGGTAATATTGAAATATCTTATTCAATTGCAATCGATAATATATTAAAGACATTACAACATAATTTTATTTAATGAGAAAACCTTCGTTACCTAGATATAACATACGATTCTTTAGTTAAATTAGGATTAAAGGGATTTCTCGCCTCTCTTGACCATTTCTTCAATTTGCTTAATTTATTAATTAAGAAAATTCCAGCTCCTTGAGATTTACCACAAGGTTTCATGATCCATGTGCTTTGCGGTGATTTTCGATACTCCTCCACAAACATATTGTAGTCTTACACAAATAAGGTCAATGAGAAGCAAAAAAAGAAAAATTCGTTATTTTTCGACTCCTGCATCTTAGGAGATAAAACTTTTGACTAAATCACTTAAATTACCTGCCGGCAAAACGAAAGTTACTGGAATAAAATCCAGGTAGAGGTATTTTCCGGGTCCATCGCCTCTTTCTGCCAAAGGACTGCCTTCGCGTTCCAAATCTTTTCGATATCTCTTAATATTTTTCACAAGTAAATCTTTTCGCGTTAGCTCATAATGATTTGGAAAATGATTGATTGTTCTAGAAATAATGGAAGCATTGATAAATCAATAAAACATATTGAATTTATAACACAAATTAATTGGATTATACACTGAAAAATGCAGATAAGTGCTTTAATTAAAAAAAAATTAATATTCTTTATTTAAATAATCAGAGAATTGCCTATTAAGACTTCGTACAGACATTTCATACAAAATTAGATCAATTCGTTATAGGATAAAAGCATAATTAATATTTGTTTTAGTTAAATCGCATCACTTATAATTATAGTTAACTATTAATTTCATTAAAAATTGTTGCAATTACATTTACTAATTTTAATAATCAATCATATACTTTCCTTTACATCAAATCTTACATATAATAAATATATTTCACAAAGAATATTTCATATTAATGGTAATTAATCGTAATTAATGAAAGCTTTTCTATATGAATAATGAGTTGCATAGGAAAATAAACAAATGAATAATTTACAATGACTAAATTGAATATATAGTGTGACTATTGAATTTATTGAAGATTGAATTAGAAAGTAAAGTTTCAAAATGTGTATTATATAAAAGTTTATGGTATTCTAGAATATAATTATGAAGGTTTGATTATGGAACTTCAGTTAAAGCATAAGTAAGTAATCGTAATAGTCAATTTATTTTAAATTAAGTATACGTGTAACACATTTAATATTCATTATTAAATAGGCACTAAAGAATAGATTAAACTTTTCAGATTCTTATGTGTAAATGAAATCTATTAAAATTTATTTAACAGTTATTTTATTTTGCTAATGATAATCACCTAGTAAATTCACATGTTTACAATATAAAATAAGCTCTATATATATATATATATATAATTTTTTATTTTATCACAACATAAATGAATAAATAATATTCTTCTATAATTAGAGCAATTAGAGAAAGTAACTTACTGATTGTCACCCATTCTGTAACCGGTTTCGATGCTGAAAATATTTCGACAAGATATCGTTGCAGCCCTTAAACGCAATTTGAATTTGTAAATAATAAATATATACACGTTATTTATGCCGAGATCTTGTTTTAAATTATCATTTCTACCAATAAAAATTCCAGTCCTCTTCGGGACCGACTTGTTTCCATCCTCTTTTTTCGAAATTATAAGTTATTACAGATTTGTCCACATCCGTACAATATGTTACCTTCATTTTGTCTAATCCAATATTAAGCACCCTTGAAAATATATTTCACTAGAATTACTCGAATGATAATAAAAAATATGTTAATATTCCCTACGACGATATTTAAATAAATGATTAAGAGACATTTTTTTTTTTTTTTTTTTTTTTTTTTTTTACAAAAAATAACAAATAAAAAGTAAAAATTAAAATAACTTTCAATTTAAAGGAAAAGTTTGCTATGAAGTTAATATGAATGTAAATTTTAGGCATGCAATTGAAAATATCTGATTAATGAGCAGAAATATTATATACAAGTATTATTAAATGATATATGCGAGCTCTCACGATCAAATTTAAACGTGTGAAGTTCAAATTCAGTTGGAAAGGCAAACAAACACTTCGGGTTGTGCATCATATATGCATTATATGCGTTTACCTGCCATAAGTAGTTGACGAATTGCTTCCTACTCGTTTATTTTCAATGTTCGCCATTTCATAAAGTGACTGGCATACTAAACAACGCTTAGACTTAAGTTTTATCAATGTGCATCTATGGTAACGCATACTAACAATTTCCTCAACAGTGATAAATATGGACACTAATGGTGATTGAGGACAAAATGAGAGTATAACAACAATAGGTGATAAAAATTATCTAAACACACTATGAATGTTGAACAGTGTTAAAAAAATCGATATTTGTTCTTTACACTCGGTAACGGCGCTTAAGCAAATACACAACGAATGGGCAATATAAGCTCTGCCATCGATATTTACATTAAACTGTTTAAAAATTCGGATTAAGCTTATTATTGCATTATGCATTGATAATGCATTTGATATTAACTATAAAATAACTTTAGAAAGACGTCAATTTTAGGAGAACGTCGGTTCTGGAAATGCCAAACAAAAAAGAAAAAAAACCAAGTAAAGGAGGAAGTAGCGGTGAGAAGAATCCCTCGTCGGTGGAGGAATATTTGTCAACATTCTTAAGGCAAGACACGACGAGGATAACGATCGCATTCAAATTGGAGCGAGCTCGAATAATGCACGTGTAATATCTCTTATATAGTAATATTTCTTTTATAGTAAAGCATCGGTGTCATGCATTCGATTACCAAAATTGTTTACAATATTAGTCGGTCGTCCCTCCAAGTGCGCGAGTCAAGGAGTCTAGCGTTCTTTCGGCACAACCTCGCATTTTGCCCTCAATGCCCTTGTCGCCTCTGCAAAGATAAGAACACTCGCGACGTCACGAAAAATTTATAAAGGACTGACAACATTTTTCAAAATGGTACAGGTCTCCGAATGAGTTACCGAAGGTTAGATTTTTTGTTATGTTTCCGCCACTACGGAGTTTTTTTGTTTTGGCGTTCGCGACAATTTTTGATACAAGCAAATTGATACAAGAACTCATTATAAAGAGAATCCCGTCATTCTTTCAATTTCCAATCCATGTGCATTTTTTTGCACTACAATGTTATCCGCGTCACATTTTTATCATAAATTTGTTAACGCACTTATGCGCTTTGCTGTGAAATTTTCCATGAAAATGTCATTGTTACGAATCGTAATTTTTACTACAAATCCAATTAGTATTTATTTTATTTTTCTGCCTTTAGATTGCAGTTTTAGTTCACAATTATTTTACGACGCAATTTTATCTTAAAAATATGCAATTTAAATTCTTGAACATGAATTCTGAACATAATAATGTACTAATATTATATAATATATAATATAGTACTTTACTTGTAATTTCATCCATACATTTTCAACTGAACTAACGTAAGATAACTTATAATGCAGTTGCTACACTATTTCTAACTATGACCCTAGATTATAATAAATATAATTTAAAAGTTAAACAGTTTCCTCAGTAATCGTTTAAATATTATATTTAAATAAAATTATACTTCATATAGGTGCAAAATAATTGATTAATTATTATTTATCATTATTTAAGTATATAAAATTTGTCGATTCTTGATCTTCAATTGAATCTTCGATAAAATTAAAAGCATAATGGAAAATAGGTTTGCTAAAACATTCACATATATATCTTAGTTTAATATAATAGTATTATTATATAGATAATGTTTAAAATATGCGAATGGATGTTATTGAAATTCTGAAAATTCGGTGGTGGTAAGATTTTTATTTTCAGTTTTAACATTTTCATGAAAACTTGATCTAAATTGTTTGAATTTAATTTTATAAGAGCATATATTAAACTAATCAAATTATTAATATTTTGAACTTACATTGAACAATTGTGTTTTCCAGATTGCTCAAGTCAGCTTTAAATTTGCATGGCATATTGAATGAATTTTACATCAAAGACAACAAAATATTATTATGATATAAATATGTATTTATTATGATATTCAAAAACTTTTGCTAAGTAGTTAGCTGTAATTTTTCATTTTATGTTTTTATTTTCAATCGAGTACTAATATTCATATTATATATTTTTTAGAAATATTATAACTGGATGTTGTAAATGATACATTTGTAATTAATTATTATAAATTATATATTATTTACATTTTAATATACAACAAATCTATTGAAACCACAATGGTAAACCTGCTTTATATTTATTGTGCTCCTCTATTTTTTTTTTCAATGGTTCCGATACCTCTTTCTCAGTTTGCTTATCTTTTACTTTGTTTGCTCTTTGTTCTGCGAACATATTTGGGAATTCAAATGACTCAAATCTTGGCTGAAAAGAATAGAACAATTTTTAAATAATTATTATTTACTATTAATTATTATATAATAGGGCAATACACATATTGTTTATATTATTTAAAATTTCTTTAATAATTTAAAATTACATTTTAGTACTCACTAAATGGGCGTATGCAACTTTTATATCTTCATCTTTTATTACAGTATTTAGCTCATTTCTTCTGAATTTTCCTAATTTTATTCTCGTATTCACTTTGATAATAGGTATTTTGTAAATTTTTTCCAAGTAATTTTTAATATCGAGTCTTGTCATTTGCATAGAACAATGAAATTCTACGATATTTGGAGGATTATTAAATTGTGGCTTGACAAGCTTCATCCAAAAATTTGGAAGAAATATACGTAGTTGTGGATTTCCTTTTTGATATAGTGGGTAGCTGGAAAACAGAATCAGTTAATTTATGAAAAAGCAAAACTATAAAATTCAGAAATATTTTCATGCAATCAAATATTATTTCAATATGATTGAAATTAATAAGAATAATTTTAATTTTAAATTACTATCGTGTTGACATATTTAGTTTTGTAAAATTTTCTTGTCTATTGAATTCCGTGATCAATATTTACTTTATACGTAACCTCAAAGCTGTTTTAAACAATTATCGCAACTCTTAGCCTCGCTCTCAGTCCAGTCGATAATACAGGATTCTTCTTTTCACTACATTTCTGTACACGTTGTTGCCGACTTTTGAATGAAATAATTGCATATTCGATCGAATATTTTACATTAGTATGCAAATTAATGATAAATAGGAGTAGAAAATAAAATAATAATTAGCATTTCGCAATAATGTTAAATGCGAACAAGAAGAACAAAAGAGATTGTCTTTGATTTTAACTTGATATACAAATACTGCACTATTAACGACATTTAACCGCTCATGTATTTCATGTTGATTACAATTGAATAGAACAAAAGGCTAATGGGACAGAAATCAATAAAAAAAACTACCGAAATGTACAATACGTAATTCTTCCCTTCGTGGCAGAGATGGCGCTCGATAATCGGTAAAGCGCGAGCTGTAGGAATTTCGAGGGTGAACGGGCAAATTCTCACGACCGACTTTTTTGTGCCTTTTGAAGAGCATATATCCTTCGCTTTTCTCTCTAACGCTCTCTCATTTCATTTCGCCCTTTTTCCCCCGCCATCCCACTTGTACACCTCCCGCTTTCTCCCTCTTCTCTCTCTCTCTCTCTCTCTCTCTCTCTCTCTTCCCTTCACCCCACCCTATCCCATCCCATCCCATTCCATCCCATCCCATCCCATCCCATCCCATCCCATCCCATCCCATCTCATCTCATCCTATCCCATCCCATCCCTCCCGTGCGCACTCCCGTTCTCTCTCTCTCTCTCTCCCTCTCTCTCTCCTCCCTCCTCCCTCCTTCCCGCTCTCTCTCTCTCTCTCTCTCTCTCTCTCTCTCTCTCTCTCTCTCTCTCTTTCTCTGACGTCGATGTTCCCTCCCCCTCTGTCCATCTCTTTTTCTCAACGGAGTCTAGGCTATGGACCAGCGGCGCGCCTCCCGTCGCTCGTATGCGTGGGTCAGCGGCTCCGGCTTTCACGGAGGGAAGCTGCAAGACTACGTGCCAGTCGACGAAGCGGAGAGACACGGAGAGTCCCGAGTAACGCGGTCCCCGTATTCTGACGGCTGCCGAAAATCCGACTTTCATCGCCGCGCGCCCTTACAGTGAAACTATGTAATTTTCCATCCAGGCCCTGTTCATCCGAAGAAGTAGACCATACGCAGCCGGGACATGTCATGGAAATAATTAACAGGAGAGGCGGTAACGCGTCGGCAACCGACGGCAGCCCTTTATCGGCCTCCGTACAAACGTCATACCGAGTCCGCGGACCACTGCTGGTCCTCCTGCCTTCACGGCCCTCGCCACGCGATCCCACTGCTGCCGGACTTTTAAGGAGCCGCTGTGTGCCGCGCCGATTTTGTTTTTATTAGCTGGGCAAGCTCGATGGACGGGAGCTACGCTCGTGGAATCACGAGCCTCTTCTGCGCTCTCTAAATCAAGATGCACTTTACGCGGTCTATGATCTCCATCGGAAGGTGAAAATGCGCACTGGGCCACGTTCTCTTACGGTGAGTTGTGCTTACCTTCGCGTACCTCCTTCCACGTAAGGTCGTCTCTGCCTCCTGCCTTTTTACGCCTAACGGCGGGAGAATTTTTATTAATTTGCTGTCAGCAGGGGCGAGCCAGCGACGCCAATTTCATCGACGATTTATGAGCGTTTGAATTTGCGAATATTGCGCTGAATTGGCCTGTCCATTCGATTGTCACGGCATTACGTTCCTTACACGGAACTCCCAATCGTACGATTTAAGCACTCCTCGCTACGAGGCTATCGACGAAGAGTACAGAAGAGTGACAACAGCCCTCACCCATGCGATTGCATACACGAAATACAAATATACACGAAACGACACCCTCAGCTACCCTCAACCCATCCAACGTAACGCTAGATTCCCCATTTCCATTACGTAAACGACACGAATGCTTGAATTGATATTTATAATCGTCGATTTTTGAGACTAGTTTTGCGAATTAAAAGAGCCCACAGAGTGTGGGTGGAAGGAATCCGAATTGAAACGTCGCCGCATCTCATCGCGTCGTCGCGTTCCTTTCTCCGTACGCGTCGCGACAATATCCCGCGTCTCTCACAAAGTGGAGCACAGCCGTGTACAACGTTTCCTGTGTATCGGATCCTGCTCTTCTCGTTCGCTTCTCGTCCCTCTCGCGTATTAAGTTTCGATTAAGCAGTTTATTCGTAGCTTTCCCTTGCGAAATGCTCGCGACCCCGATGATTCGTCGGCTCGTTATTCTCCAAGCTTGTTGTCTTTTGCCGATTTAAAGCAGCCCTCGGTCCCAGCAAGTATTATTACTCCAGTGATAAGATAAAGGTATTTCGAACGAACGATCATTCGTCGGTATTGGTTAGCTCTTACACATACTTTCAAGTTTCATAAATTATCGCGAGCTCTTCGTTCGAAAATTTAATGTACACGCGCACAATTTCTCGCATATTGCCGGTGTGAGATATAACTGGATAGTGGATTCGCAACGATTCGAAAGGTCTCCATAAGCACGACCAAGATTACGTTGGAAGGGTCTTTTATCTTTTTGGACCGAGTAGTCGATTAACGGCTTAAATAATCTATCGAAAGATTTTCCTGACGACCAAGATATGGCTAAACCATGGCTGAATTACCATAATTATCGCGAGTCCTATCACCGAGCCTATACTAGACGTGTCTTTTCTTTTTCGAATTGCCATTTCAATGGAAGATAATTTTTAGTCGCGTTTCATTTACTTTATGCGTGCAAAATTCATATGTAAGTTTATACGGTTAAAAGTAAAAAAAACTCTCTCGATCGAGTAAAGTAGAAATTAGCGCGACCTACATACGTCATTAGTTTCAAATTTGAATTACAAAGGCATAGTATTTGAGATGCAAAGAATTCTTTTCAAAATTTTAAAAGAATGTTAACGGTCCATTAATGGATCAATTAAAGAGAGAAGATTCGGTACGTGAGAGAGTGTAAGGGGCGAAGAAAAGCGCCATTAGTCGCAACAGAATTTTCTTTTATCGTGACATTCCACTTTTTCGCTCCATCTTGCTCATTCACACACGCGGATAGTCGAGCGACTCCGTCCGACTCCCTGTACATCACCGACCGAGTCACCTTCAACGGCCAGCGTTTGATTGTGCAAAGTTAGGGGCGAGGATTCGCAATCGTTGCCTCGCCAATCCTTTTGCCGCAAATGAAATACAAATGACAAAGAAACGCGAATTATCTCATCCCTCTGCCTGCTTTCTCTTCCGTTCGCAAGCTCATGAATTATCTTCCCCCTGCCAAGGTAACGCTACTTTCCACGCACAAAAATGATCACTCGCCCATAAAAAATACTTATCGATATTCCAAATAATCCATCGTCTTAGACTTTATCGAAATTTAAAGTTCCTGACACTGCGTCGGTTCTCCCCGGTCGTCTACTCCTCGATAGGCTTCTCATGGACCATGTAAGCAAAGCTCACTCCTCGGCAGAACTAAATAGTTTCTCAATGTAAAAGTGAGAGAGAGAGAGAGAGAGAGAGAGAGAAAGAGGGGGGGAGGGAGATGTTTATGACGACGACGATGATGTCTAAGACTATGTCGATGACGACGACAACAACCACGACGTCGCATCTTGATGAAAGATGAGGAAAGGGGAGAAGACGAGGCCAGATGAAACGAGACGAGATGAGACAAGACAAGACGGGACGGGACGAGACGGGACGGAACGAGACGAGCGGAGACGAAAGGGGAAGGGCATTTCGGAGACGAAAAATCGACGACGCGGAGGAAACGAGTGAGAGGGAGGGGGGGGGGAGAGAAAGAGTAGGATGTTAGGAGATGCCCTCGGGGACCGGCATACACAGCCGGTGATTTACCGTACTTCAAGCTATCGGAGCTCGCGACACAAGCGTAAGCAAGGCTTCTAGTGGTCGGTACTCTTAGCCGGGGACTCAAGAAGCCCCGATACACACGCGATTATCCAGAAACATCACAATACATAATAAACTCGTATAAGAGCGTGGAAAGCAAGATCGTAAAATTCGCTGAATTGGCAACGAGCGAACGACAATCAAGGACCGCCGGCCCTTCCGACCGGCCGAGGCAACGGCAACGCCTCACAAGCAAGTGTAATGTATTCTCGTTAAAAAAAATTTAACAGCTTTCGAGTTGCCCGTCGATGGGCTAAAGCTAAAGCTCCGCCGAAAATGGCCGCATGAATTTCGTGAAAGAAGTAGGGAGGAGGTCGGGCTGTGACTGTCTGCACAAAGTCGGCATAACAGCCTCGACATAGCAGCCCTATGGAAACGTAAAAATGGGCATTCGAGGGAAAAAGAAGCGCGCAAAAAGAGACGAATAAGTGGGTGTAAAGTGCGAGCGATAAGAAAAGCAGTCGGAACCGAAGAAAAACGAGCCTCGGCGGGGTGGAGGGTGCTTCGGTAAGCTCTTTGGAATGCAACGGCCATTGTGTGCGCGTACGTGCGTACGTGCGTGCGTATACTAACATCGATGCACGTACTATCGCCGTGTTTATCGTAGAGACGCTCGTACCGCGCTGTGGTTTTACGAGCCCTTTGTCCTTTACCCTTCGCCCGTTTACTTCACACTCAACCTTCGTTCCTTCGCCCTCCTACATCCGTCCGTGTATCAATGCGAGACATTTGTCCGCTCGTTCGCTACACCTTCGGCATCACCCATATTCTTCGGAATAAGGGCTTTTCTAGATCGAACGTCAGACTAATGTCGTAAGCCACGGGGCTCCAACCTTCCATTCCGATTCCTTGGTGACATCCTGGCGACAGCCGGTAACACTACGGAGGATGCAAAGGCCGCGCTCGAGCTCACGTACCAAGTCAACTAATTGCAGCCTCCGTACAGCAACGCGTTCGCCGAGTCATTACAATAATGAAATACGATGATCCGTTACGCCGCTGTCGCGCACAAAATCCCAACGCTACTAGAGAAG